AAAAAGTGTACGTATGTATATACATATACAAACATATATAAATAAAAAAAAATATATTTGTTCCTTCTTTCATTTTAATTTCTTCATTTTATCTCGCTGCTAACTCAATCCTTTTTCTCCGACCCCTCTGATTCCTGCTTGAAGTGAAACTTTCAAAAACTTTGCGCCCTCTATGTGTTTGCCGCCGCGTGTGATTTCTCGTTCATGGCGGTTTCACGGCGCTTGTTTCAATGAAAGAGGCGAGGGTCGGCGCGGCGTCGACGCGGTTAACAGCGCGGCAAGAGGCAAGAGGATACTTGAGAGAACTCTCTTTAGCGCTTCTCTCATTGCGCGTACACGAAGGGAGGAAGCCGCTTGCTGGAGGGTAGACAAACAATGAAGAGTCCCGTTCGTGGCTCGTTTCAAAGCGCGGTGGAATGCATCCGGTGACGATGTAGCTCTCGCACAGCTCGTGAGAAACACGGCTACTGACGGCGACGTGGAAAAGATTGACTCTACGATGAGGGCGTAGCGAGAGAGGAAGCAATGGAAACGAGATCGCGTAGGGTGAGAGGGAAACGATGACGGTGATAAGAAAGGGGAACGACAGGGCAAACGATACCTCGAGAGTGCGTTTAAACCTTTTCACGTGCATTTCCGCGGAAGACACTTTGTGGTCTCGGTCCCTGCGCTCGGCGAGGCCGAAGAATGCGCACTTTTCTCCCTTTTTCTTTTCTTCCGTGAACGGAGAGGAAACAGGAACAGGAAGCGAAATAGGTATCACATCTACGACTTCCGCGAGAATAGGATAGGTGGACGAAATAACTGGTTGCGCTGAATAACGCACAGTACGAACGAATAAGCCAGGACGCTGCACTGATAAAGTCGAGGAAATAAGCGAAACGCATATATAGAATAATGCGAAAGCGAAGCCACGACGTTGGTAAAATCGCGAAGAAATAAGCAAAACGCGTGGAATAATGTGAAAGCGAAGCCAAGAAAAAGGGAAGTAGAAAAATTGTGCGAAATTCATCGGTTCACAAATATATATCTAGCATCGAACTCGTCCTTCGCAAATTTTTTATTAACCTGCTGTATCGTTTTGCACGCAAAGCGAAATGTTTGATATTTATCGTTATATTTTAGGCGACATTTATTGAAGCGATAAAGATTGTAAAAGATACGGACATTCTTTTACCTCGCGCCGAGGCGCAACGAAACGCGATAAAAGGAGTCAACATTGAGAGACACCGACGTCGCAATAATACCTTCGTCGCAAGCCAGTTCTGGTCGCTTGCATCTGGTACAAAAGAGTTATTGTCACGATCGCGCCGTATTTATTGTATCCCTTCGCGGGCAATATCGTCGCGCGGGAGTTTTCGGTCAGCATGGAGAGGCTGGCGAAATACGGCGACAGGACTCTTATCCATCTGCGAAAACCCGTATCCAATGCCGTACCCGAGAGAGGGCATTGTCACGGTAGTCGGGCATTTTTCATGTTCGCTTTTCTGAGGAATAACGTCCCGAGACCGCGGCCCATGCCAGTGCGCGGTGCATGTCCCGTTGAAAATGGTGGGAGCACATTGAACATGAGGAAAGAGGTGACCATATAACGCTTCGGTGCCGCGATAGAAATATCTTGGTGAAAACGTTACGTTTATAGTACACAGATCGACAGAATTGAATACTGAGGGAAAATTTTTCGATATTTGTGACTATAATTTCATGATATCATAATTATAATTATTATATATCTATAATGTTAGAGGAAAGTTGCCGATACTGACATAGGTCTTCTAAAGTGACACCCCCTTATTTCTCAGAAACTAACTATTGTACTTTATTAATACTAATAAAATCATGATCTGTTTAGCTAATTAAAGAAGTACAAACTCATAATTCATATATTTGTGGCTTATTCTATACCAAATCAGCTAAAAACCAATTCTATGAATTCGAGAAGAAAATTCTTACGGTTCTTTTGCAAATTGCGTAATTAAAATAATAGTGACTGTATTATTGATAATATTATGTCATTTTAAATGTTTATAGTTTCATAAATTAGTTTTCTTTACAGAATAGGATATATCTTTATTTATAGAATAGGAATGTTGGTATTATTGCCTACTATGTCAGTTTTGGAGCCCATTTTGTCAGACGCTTATTTTTGCATAACTTACGAAAAACTTAAATTATTGCAAAATTGCAAACAGTATTATAAAAATTATACTATCTGATAGAAGACACTTTTTACTTTGTATTTATGTTTTTTGAAGTTGTATTTTTACCTTTTGTTTAAGAAATAGTCTAAAAACAAAGTGGTATATCGGTATCGGTGACCTTCCTCTAGTAATAATAATCATATTTATTTTGTTCTAGCAAAATATGTATATAGGTAACGAAAATGACTATACAAATTATAGTTATTTGTTATTAAAATAGTTGCATTTAACACAATTTAATTATAAATAATAATTATAATTTATAATGATCTTCGGTGCCAACTATATTTTTTTTAAACAGAAACATAAATATAGATAACTATTACTAATATCACAGCAGTAATTATGGTATCATATAATTATTGACACAAATACCAAACTTAGCTCAGTAAATAAAGTGATATATTGAACGAAAGTGATGTAAATTGATAGAAATGAAAGCCATAATAAAGGAACGACAGAACGGTGTTAGATTTTGTAAAAAAAAAAATTTGTTTTATCGAGATATTTTTTCATACAAAATACATATAATTTTATAAAGCAAGGCAGAAAAGCCATTTAAAAATATGTATTAAAAAATAGCGCACGTTATTTTTATACGTGAATAATAGAGTGTGATGTTTTAAGCAAGTAACGTATGTTTCATTTTTCTCTTTTGTCGAAATCCTACAATATACTCGCATGTATAATTTTCACTACTCTTTTTTATTCTCTCGGTAAAATTCGAATTATAGAGTTGTATTCCGAAAGCAAAAAGATATGAATGAGAATATAAATGGAGATGTAAATCGAGCAACGCGCGCGTTACAAGTTCTTCCATTCTACATCGAAAGTTCATACTTCTTCTATATCGAAAGTTCACAGAGACTTTCCGTTCATGCATTTATAAACGGTTTTCGAGCCCTCAATATATTCTTCAATGCGCTCATACTGCATGCATGAGTCACTTGTAGTACATGCAAATAGGCGAAAATTCAAAATAACGAATATGTATGTAAGAAATATATTATCTCTAATAGAAAAAATAATAGATATTTTCCTCAATTACGCGATTGTTTCGTATGATTTCCTAAAATTTTCATGTCTGGATGTCTTCGTTCCACTGAAAAATTATTAAAAGTTACTATCATCAAATCGAGCCGAGCAGCTTCGAGCTGCAGACGAGTGGTATGATGAATAAATGTTTCCTTAATGGTAAATTAACGTTCCCCGTGGCTCTTGGAGGCATCCTCACTGATGGAGCGGAAATCAGCGTTAAATAGGTGGCCTCATAATTAATGGCTTTATTATCGAATCAACGAACTCGGCCAGTGAAAAATGGACAGCGAGAAAGTGGAGCAGCTCTCGCCGGTGAATTCCAAATCCATTACTATCACGTGACAGCTCTGGGAATACTTTTACGGTAACCAACCCGATTTTATCCTTGCTTTTCGCAAGGTGTTTCGAAGCAAATGAATCATTTCTAGCGTTTTAAGTTTAATTTAATACCGGTATTAATTTTGGTTAAAATATCGGCTTAATAACTTGGTGCAAATTTTATCCAGTTTATACAACGCTTCGATATTAAGTCAATCACTACATATATAACTTTATCTTTTATAAAAACAAAAAGATATAATTTTATATTTGTATCTATTTCACAATGCGGAAATTGTCATATAATATAACAATTCTCTTCTATTTTGCAAAATAAGAATTCCAGTAAATATAAAATTTTAGCGTGCATATTATAATAAAAGCTATACAATTATGTATAAAATGAAAATTGCTGTTATATTTAACGTTAAACAGAATCATATATTTATTCAGTACGTGAATCGAGTTACATTGTATAATTATGAAATTTCATTAACGTGTACTGCATTTATTTTTCTAGCTGCGATGCCATTTATACTTCATTTTATTCGAGATAATGTGCACCAGGCTTCAAATAATTAAAATAATTATCATATACTGTTATAATTTTATTCTGACTTGTTTTAATTATGAAACGCAGCTATTTATATATATATGTATATATATATATACATATCGATCTTGCGAGCAAAGCAACTCGATTGCAATGCGCATAATAGTGAGTGACGCGTAATTACATGCGATAGTCAACATATTCAAACGTATTCGTTGTAAACAATGTATCATGAGTCATAATGAGTGGCCACGTTTGGAAATCATTAATATCAATGAGAGGTATCTCTCATTACCTGTCCGCCAAACGCAAAAACCCCAGCAATTTCATCATCCCGCCGAGGGACACCCAGTATGTACTTCGCTTGACTAACGAGCGTCCATCAGACGACTCTTTCGTCTTCATTTGAAGTGGACGTGCACACGGAACAAGACCGAACTTCGGCATTTTACTTCTTCGTTCCTTTTGTCTCGAGATCATACTCGAACGTGCAATGATACACAGGATATCCGATGTCGTGTTAAATCTTTATTTATTGGAAATTGGTAAATTATGTAATAATGTGAAAATATTTACCGTAAATTTGAAACATCTGCAATTGAAATTTAATTCGATAGGTGCGCGTGACGTTCTGCAAATTTAGAGCATATTTTACGGCGAAATACTTTGTATAATTAATTTTATGCGTCGTTAATTAAATATTGATACAATATAATCTGGCATTCTCTCAATAAAATTTACTAAATCTCTCTACAACACATCAAATTTTTAATTGTAACTTTTTCCACGAGATTCTGACTTTACCACATGCTTCCGTATCCGGAGACCTGTAAGAATTCTACTCGCAAATCACTTTGCAATTTTGTGGACTGAAAGATTAAATAGATTACCCTGTGTTTGTCGACGTGCACCGGTCTCAAGTGACGATCGAAAAGCAACTTGTCCGGCTCGATGTTGATGGGACTCTGCCGCCTTCCTTTGGTGCAAAGAGACCACTGCGGATTTATCAAACCCCAAAACGAAGGTCCTGCAAAAAGATATCATATGTCAATATGGCAAAAAAGACTGAAAACAGTAAAAAATTAAGAAAAGTAAAAGACGAACTTATAATGAATTTGAGAAAACTTTAGCAATTCTAATAGAAAAAAAGAACATGGAAAAAACGATTTTAAAGTATCTAAAAATGAAGTTAAATACAAATTTATTGTTAGTTAAATTTTTGGATACTTCAACAAAACTATCCTTTTCATGAAAAGATTCCATTTATATAATAATTAGATAGTTGTTATCCAATATATAACAATTTTTTTAAACAAAAAGACCGTTATTGTCAAAACGTTCTTTTTATTAAAACGTTGTCGAAAAACATGCTGAATGCGTTATTTTATCTCGAAATTTTGTACTTGTATCGTATCTCCGGGCAACTGGGAAGTATGAGAGAAACTCGGTCGCGCAAATTCCCAAGAGAGATTCTTATTTTCTCTGTTTGAGTATGAATCGTCGTGTCACGTGTCAACCGCTCGGAAATCTGAAATTTTTATAATTTCAACTTTTCCGGCTGGTCGCGCCGACCGGTCCGTTTCTTGTCCGGCCCGCGTCAAGTTTCGCACAGCAGAAGGGATTTTGAACTCGTTTCGCCAGCTTCGTACGCCAGGGACCAACGCAACTCCCTTCCGATACTTCCGTCTTAGGGACCGACCGACGTTCGCGTTTTCCCCGGCACTCCTCTGAGAAATTTAACTTTCTTCACGTCACCCGCGAGGATCGATATCTCGAGAAAGCAGCTTAACGAATCCACGGTCGCGAATCTGAGCGAAAAGGCACGAACTGCGTTGTGTCCTTGTATTTCTCGGATTACATTCAATATTTACAGATAATATCCGTGAGGTATTAAATACAATTATACACAAAAATCGATGTTAATTCTATTCTCATTCGTATTTATATGTATTTATTTAGATTTGTATCCGATGGATCAATTTATCACTTCATTCACTGAAATCGAAAAAATAACAAGTTACTTTTTTAATCCACTCATTCTTATGAGGAATAATAAATTTTCCTGAAAAATGTTTTTGACGTGAGCGAAATTTTTGTTTTTCTAATAATTATTTGTTTACAAAATCACGGTCAATCAACAATTCTGATGAAATCGCGATTTATGTGTAACACGTTAAAGGTAAACAATAAATTATTAATATAACAACTCGTATAAGCAACACACCGAGTATACTAACGCAGGAATTTGGTAATATAATGATAAATGAGAAACTCACACATACTGATATCATTCGAGAGATAGCATTATACATAGAATGCCCTAAAATTGTAGATTTTCATTGTGTCTAATTAGCCATAATTAATTTATTCATAAAAAGAAAACACAAATTGTTCGTGTTGAATTGTAATTAATTAAAATAATTATAATATTGGAAGTAAATATGGCATAATATTCCTCATATTGATAAAATTAATAACTACTACCACTTTCATCAATTCTGCAGTGAGTACACTAGATGTATGAAACATTTAAACTCTTCAATTTAGGTCTTTTTTATACTAGCAAAATTGTACTCTTAAATTTCTTCGAAATAAAGAAGAAGAGATCAGTATCTTTATTGTTAAAGTATACATCTTTAAACAAATTTTTATCTCTTTTTAATTTTTCCTCAAATTCAATTTTTATTAAATAAAGATTTTAATACTTAAAAAACTGCTTGGTAATGTAACACAGATATTGGAAAAATAATCCTGAACTTTTCCTCATTTTTTGAAAGCCTATATAGAACAGTAAAGAAAACTTGGGCAGAAAGGAGTAAAAATATAATCGCAAAAACGGAGGATTAAAATATTATGAAATTAATTGCACAAAAAGCTCGTTTGCTTGTTTTTATTTGTCAGTAGAAAATCTCTCTTATCGAACTTTTTTATCATTATTTATCACACACTGGAAAGAATGTTGTTGCATTAATTGGAGCTCTGGTTGAAAATGGACAAATCAAAATTTTCTGGTTGAATCTATTATAATTCTAGTTGAGGTAATCAAAATTCTAATTTATATGATTAGGCTCTTCCAGTTCGTTCATTTTCAACTAGAAATTTTTCTCAATGTAATTATCAAATTCACCGCGTCATAATTACGCTATAATTTTCTCGGTGCCGTTGTACATGCAAACAATTATAGATAGACAGTAGCATACTAGATAAGATCAATATTACACAAATAAACCCGAGCATTTTAGACTACCCCATGTATGCGCTTAGCGAAACAGATGTGCAAACGCAAATGCGTTTCAAGCTCGTATATTAACACTGAGAATCCTCCGAGCGGGATACAAGGGATGACACGTAATGACGTGCTGGCACGCGAGCATAATCAAAACTTACGGCCTCGATAAACGTGCGTATCGGTTCGATAGCGGACAACCCTGTGGAATACTGTGGATAGGTCTGCGCACAAACACACGCACGTATGCACGCATGCTCATGTGTGACAGCAACAACACGTCGACACTTTAGTGTCGTAATAGCGGTGCAATTAACCTCGTTGTAATTAGCTTTTTCGCGCTAGAATGCGCACTTTTTTTATCCTTGGTCGTCACGTGAGCTTCTCTCTGTACCTGACGTGCGTGTGCGATTCACTTTATCGAACGGAACTCATTTATTAAAGAGCTATAAAGCGTTATATGTTAGACAAAGTTTTTTTTTCTTTTTTTACATTGTTAGACATCAAAAGAGCAATGGTAGCCCAATCTCCTGTGTTAAATAACACTTTGTCATATCTATCAAAATGTTAATCAATCCGTTTTTATAATTGAATTGCTTAATTTCTAAGTAATCAATGTTATATATATTAAAGTATATAAAACAATAAGCTAAATTTGTAAATAAGTAAATAAAATTTAACTTTGAAAAGGCGGAAATCTCTCAAAATTTGAAAACTTTTCCTTCAATAAGATTTATTATAATTCTTTATTATTATTATTTTATTGTATTTCTCTTACCTCAAAATTAATATTGTTCCTGCGCTATTTTGAAGTGAATTTTAATAAATATTTGTTTGAATGGTACTAGCAGAACATATTAAATGTAAACATGTATCTATTTGGTATGAAAATCATTAATTCGATTTAAATATCATTTTTTTACTTAATAAATATTTATTTACTGTAAGTAAATGTTAAGTTAGTACATTTAAATAAATATTTATTAAATTTTATCCTTTTTTTTCTCAGTTTATATTGGTTTTCCCATCCTTTAAAAGTTAATACATTCCTGTAGTTAACTCTTCTATCAATACATAATTTTTCATCTCTTCTCACTAGTATTGTGTTTCACAAAATTCTCGAAAAAAATATAAAAGTGAGAACGAGATAAAATTTGTGCAGTTCTGCAAAGTTCTTTGTTGTCCGAAGAATGAGGTTTTTGAACCGTAAACAAAATTCACGCAAAAATATAAAAATTTTTACTGTTTAAAATTGGATATGAGTACCTATTGGCAAAAGAGTTAAATTGTTCAACTTCATTGTCTTTGTTATAAATTGACGATATATTTGAATAAGAGCAGTGGCGACCTACAGAAATGATTAAAAATAACTCAAATTGATATAATAATAGACACTATAAATTTAACAGTAGCGATATAAAATGCATAGCTATTATAATGAAAACGAGATAGAGAGACATATATGTAAATTAATTTTGACGTCTGTTGAAAGAGCATCACCTACCCCCAAGTGTTACTTCCGCTTATGATTTCAATGTATAAAATCACTAAACTCTCGCACCATAAATCTCAATCGGTTGCGGCGGCGTGAAAAATGGGTTGATATGACGCAGAGGGATATTATTTTTTGATTTATTTTCTACAAGTTGTTATACATTCCCCGGAACGCTCTTTTTACAACTTTGCTCGCACGTGAAGCGAGAACACGCGCGGCTTAAAGAAGGCCGCGGACTTGGTTTCTTAACGCGAGAAGGCTGTTATTATTCGCAATCCCGCGACACACATTCTATCGCGTTTTTGCTTTTCCTTACTGCGGAATTTATGTCGGAGGAAATGGCACGCCATCGCGTTGGCCACGCGAGAGTTTATTAAATGACGCACGCGGTGCATGTGTAAATGCTTTCTCTTTTCATTCCGGTCGATTCGTCGCGCGACATTCTCGCATTGTGGTAACGCCCGATTTCCGCACCCTTCCACGATCTTCGCCATATTTCTTTGTTACTGCATGCGCGCACGCATACTGCACGGCCACGAGATACACCTCATGTTAAGATTATCACATTTTTTTTAAATCAGGCGATTAAATAAGGACAGATTTTACTTTCTTTTTTTTTTAAATAAAGAAATTTATTTTCCATAGTCGAATTAAAATGCGTTGCGAACATTAAATGGAACGCACCCCTAATACACTTTTGGAACTTAAAGTGGAATAGGTAGGTGTTTAATATTTGGCTAAAGTGAGAAAGAAAAATTCTAGTGCAGTCTAGTATAAGAACAAATATAGATTTAAAAAAATCTGTACATAAAACTAGTGTTATTTTGTAGGATAAACTCGGGTATGATGGCCATAGTTTTTTAAAATGCAAAAAACATACATTTATTCTTGTTACTTTTTAACAATATTTGGGATATTACTTTCACTGAAGTTTAAAGTAACAAATACTATCGAAATTAAAGAGAAAATACTTGACAGAACTTTAATTTTATCAAAATATTACAAAGTATGCATTTGCCATCTTATCTGATTTTTAGGGAAAAGATGGCCATGATATTAAGAAAGATAGTATTTTTAAATAAATAGTGAAAATAAAAATATTAATTATAGGTCACTTTTCAATGTACGTACTTTTATTGTGTGTGTGTATGTAATGTTGATTATGGCAACTTAACTGTAATTTATTAGACATTATAACAGTTTTTAACAGACACGTGCAAAAGTTTGCAGATAGTCGAAAGAAAAAATATTGGATAATATTTATAATATTGTTATTTTGAACAGTGTACTCATATGAACTACTGTA